GTTCACCAGGGCTGAGATCTATCATGCTCTGCAAATTAGAGCCTTATTCGGCAATAAAGTAGCTTGCAATGGAATTCAAAGAATAAAAGAAACAGATAATGTGTTTGAAAACCCTTTTAAGGGAGACTAGAATTACATTTATTTTGCGATAGCAATGTTAAGAATCAGATTGAATTGGTTGGTTTGACTGGTACTTCTCCGATCTGATGTAAAGGGAAAACTCAGGGAAGGAATAACTCATCAAAACTCATAAAACCATTGGGTCAACTGGTCAAACCACGCTCATATATATATCTATAATATTTAACGAGTTTGATCCATATTTCTAAGCTATGATTTTTGCATATCTATACTTAATAAACTGTGTGGAAAGAAAAATAATGGGCGCAACTAGATAAAAAATTGTGTATATATTCTAAAATTATAAATTTATAAAATAACTATATACAAGTTAGATATCTTGTGCTGTAAACTTATTTAGTTTAATTTTAGTTATAAAATACGTATATATACATTTTGAATGAAGATTATGGAGTGTTCGTTTTTATAATTATAGAGATCATTCTTTTATTATAAGCATATTATTTAAAATATATTAATTTATTCATGAATGGTTTGACCCGTGGTCTGACCATTGCCAATGGCTAAACATTGCGAAATGGATTTAGGCTAGGTAGTTATGATAGAGTAGAGCTGATGTGGGATATCTATAGTCCATAGGTAGCTAAATAAAGAAAAGATACGAATAAATACTATTCCAATAAAATCAAAATGGCTTGTGTTGAGTTTCAATATTCTGATCTTGTGACACTGTTTTTATTCCAAGCTTTTCATGATCTTATTACCATATCTTGTGTTAGCCTTTTGTCTTGTTAATGTGCTTATTTGTTCATCTTCTGGTGTAATATCTTGAAATGCTTAAGGTACAAGGAGGAAGTGCAATGAGTAGTGGATTGGGAGATGTGTTTGATTCACATACTAATCACCTTTCTCTACTTATTGTAAGTTCCTCTGCCATTGGGATTGGCTGATTGACTTAGAAGCAAAAGAGACTGAGGTATAACTTTTAAGGCAGTGTTCTTTATAATTTCCCCTTCCCCTGAGGTCGCTTCTGTTTTATGTTAGCTGTTCTTTATTTAGTTCTTTATGTCTATTTCACTCTACTTTTGCAGTTTGTAAAGAAAGAGATGTGGGCGATCACATGCTTTTAAAAGTCAGAACAGTACGGCCTTTCTTCTGTCATCCTTGATGCTTCAAATAATATTCCACGTCAGAAATCTCTTAAAGATAATTGTTTCATTTATCGTTTTGTACGATGTGGTCCATCTTCCCCTATCTGAAGATGGCGATCCTTCTAAAGCTACAACAAATTATTTAGATCTGAAACTAAGAAGTGGAGACTATGTGGTGCGAGTTATTCCCTCTTTCTTTTAATCTATTGAATGAGATATATGGTATCCAATTTTTTTTTCCCCCACACAAACAAAAGCTTGTGATTGCAGACAGATTAATATTTGACGTGAATGCTGGTAATTTTTTGTGATTTTCAGCTACAATTGGATATGTCTCTAGCGTTATTATTATTTTTTTGATGATTTGATGAGACTCACATCTTTATTTCAAGAAAAATAACATTGAACATGCATGAAGCAGTGAAGTATAATCAAATCCAAGCTCAAACAGAAGCCTGGAAATGATTTGTCCCTCTTTTGCTTTTAGCCCATGGTTTCATGTCATTATGCTTTTTTCTTTTACCCCCACGTTGTATTTTGATTGGCTACAAGTCTGTCATTGATGGTTTAACTAGTACGAGATTATTGTTTAATTCCCAGAAAAAAATGAGTATATTAACTTATTTTGCAAAGGATTATGCATATTATTATTTTTTCACTAATTGTCCCATGCTGTTAATTGATTATTTGTTTATTCTGTTAACATTTTAGATATTGAGCACTGAATCTAGCCGTCAAGCTATTGCCAGTGGGGTGATTACAGATATTAGTCATGCCCATGTGTCTGTGAGTATATTACTTTTGTCTGTTTGATTTTTTATCATTTATACTCTTGCGCTTTTGCATTTGTCATTTACTTCCTTTGCTCTTTTATTAAAGCATTGCAAGGATTAGAAGAAGCAAAATCCTTGCTGATACAGTTATGGTCTACCAACATGACAATTGTTTGTTTATCTTTAAATCTTCTAGGTTTCCTTTTCAAAGCGCCTGTGGATTCCTGGAAGCACCTCCACTAGCCAAGATCTCTATAAACAGGTTTGGAGAATTGATAAGGATGAAGGTGTGACTTCATTTGCTATTATGAGGTGCTTCTCTGGTTATTGCTTATTCAAATCTCAATTTTCAAGACGTGTGCCAGTATTCAAATTAATATACTTGTATGATTCATTTGTGACGCCTCCCCCCTAAAGGTTTAATCTAGTACAGCTTTTTCTGCAAAATGCTCGAAGTACTCATCTGAGGAAAATGATTGTTGATCTTGAGGTTAGTTACTGCTATCATGTACAAATCTCCCAACTTTAGCTTTACTAGCTACTTATTCTGTCGGTGTTGCCCGCAGGCTCCTAAATTTGACAGTGGATCTGTGCTCAGTCAGGACCCGCAATATCATATATGTGGTGGTCAGAGAAGAGTTTGAATGATGATCAGCGTAGATCAATCCTCAAGGTTCCAATTGAATCTGAATTTCCTTCATTCATGCCCTGAATTTATTCAGCAAGTCTTTTTTTGCAGTTTGACAAAGAATTGACCTTTCTTTGTGACTCTACTCTGCTACTAATTATCAGATTCTTACTGCAAAGGACTACGCACTCATATTAGGAATGCCCGGAACAGGAAAGACATCAACTATGGTTCATGCTGTGAAAGCATTATTAATCAGAGGCACAACTATTTTGCTGACAGCTTATACAAACTCAGCTGTAGATAAGTTACTTATCAAATTAAAAGCTCAGGTATCTGTGCTTTTCATTTTATCGTAGCTTCTTAAAGCTTGTGATCTTGTTAGAATGCAATCATGAGTTGAAATACTATATCTCTAATACACTCCTTCATTTGCTTGGGTTTGAAACCAGGCTAAGCATAAGCCCACATGTTGAAATTATACATTCATTTATGCAGTGCTAGAATGAATTTTATTTTCTTAAAAATCCTTGGGTCTTTAAATAAGTTTGTTGATTACTTGCTAGACTCACTATTCTAACACTAATGCTCATCCCTCTGCATTATATTCTAAAACTATCCAATTCACTATATTACAGTGTGGTTCCTTGTAATCATTCATAGCATGGTGGAATTTAAATTGTAGGGAATTGATTTTGTCCGTATTGGAAGACATGAAGCTGTGCATGAGGAGGTTAGAGGACACTGCCTTTCAGGTTGGCTGATTAGTTGTTTTTACTCTTCCTCATGATTTGGTGTAGTAGTTTTACTTAGAGTATTGTCACAATTGACAGCAACAAATGTACAAAATGTTGATGAGATCAAAGTAAGGTTAGAACAAGTTAAAGTAGTTGCAGTTACATGTCTGGGCATCACCAGTCCCTTGCTTGCCAACAGGACTTTTGATGTATGCGTTATGGACGAAGCTGGGCAGACAACTCTACCAGTATGTTACTTGTTACTTTCTTATATTTTTGAAGTACCTGAGATACTTGTCAGTGGCATGTACTCTATGTACAACTACAGTTTTTAAAATTTTTGTTCAGATGAACCCATGAACAGAAATGGATCCTGTAGGACCTTTAAACTCAGTAGAAATATTTTATGCCCCTGAATTGATTCGTGTCCTTTCTGTCCCTGAAACACATGTATTCATCTTGAAAGAATTTACCAAAATGGCAAGCCAGTTTGATGTAGCTGTTGAAAAATGGGGTATTCTTTATTTCCTCTTCATCCATGAACAGTTCTTAAGCTTCCCTGAATTTACCGGGCATCAGGGACTAGATCCTGCTTTTACTTGGGTGAGATACCTGGGATGAGAGGATAAATGGGTCCATAACATAGCCTGAAGATGAAATATTGTTTCGTATACTGTTTACGTGCTTGTGTTAGATTACATGTGTATGCATTTGTCCATGCAACACTAACTTTTCATGCTTGCTTCTGTTCTTCATTGAAATTGTGCTTCTGTAGTTTCAGTGACAAACTGGTTCCCAATAAGATGATGTTCAGTTAAAACAATTAAACAATTGGATATAAATTTGCTGCAAATTGTTGCTTTGTCAGGTGTCCTTGGGCCCTCTCATGTTTTCCTCAATGTTTGTACTTGTGGGTGATCACTATCAACTTCCTCCGCTTGTCCAGGTATTGGCCTTGCATTATTATTAATGTTTTTTTGGTATAAAACTGTGGGTAACCTTTTTTAAATTTGTGTCAAATAATTCCTAGAGTGCAGAGGCTCGAGAGAATGGTATGGGGATAAGTTTATTTTGTAGGCTCTCAGAAGCACATCCACAAGCAATTTCAGCACTACAGAGTCAGGTATTTTTATGATTTTAAAAACGTTTGTTTCTTTTACTTCCATTATCTATGTAATTATTTACTAATTTGAAACAAATACAGTACCGTATGTGTCAGGGCATCATGGACCTGTCAAATGCCTTGATATATGGTGATAGGTTAAGGTGCGGTTCCACTGAGATTGCCAATGCAAAACTTGCGTTTTCTACCTTAAAATGTGCCTTGCCTTGGCTAAAAAATGTAAGGCTACTATCTTCCAGGTTCTTATTGTTTTAATTTTTGATGGATTTACATTTTTCACAGGATTTCATTTATTCAACAAGCTTCTCATTGATGGAAGTTATTTTTAATTTTTTTTCTATACGATCTTTCTTTTGTATCATTGATTTTACCTTTCTTTTTTCCAACACTGACCGTCTTCAAGAGTTTTTGCCTCATTTTCTTTTTGGCGGTCAATTGTTTTTGCATGTGTACGGGTTCCGTGGGTGCAAATGCAAACACTTGAAATTCGTTAATAGAGTTGCCTTGCTACATAGTTCTCGTCCTCACTTGTCAATAGTGAGGCACATAATATTGACTGAAATTCTGGTAGTTTGATGCTTATCTAAAACAGCATAAACTGGCCAATGCTGGTAAGAAACTAATGATAGTAGGGTGCTGAAGTGAATGCAACAATATATTTTCCTAAAATGAAGGGTTCGCATGGAAAATTAAACAGCGATTGGAGACTCCATGGATTGGCTTTGACTCAACTCTGAAATAGGCTTTTGTTTGGCATTTCTTGTTATATTGTGTTTCTTTGCGACGGTGAACCTTGATATTAATCAACCTTAGGGACTGCTAGAATGAAGTGTGTATCATTTAGATTACAATGAGCATGTTTACTAGTTGGATTTGATTGTACTATCTGAAGTTTTATACATCCTTCCAAGTTATCAGTATAAATACACAAATGGGACTTGGCTAAGCAAGCCAGTGACTCCATATAGAATATTGGTGATATTCAATCTTCACATTGCAGGAAGCTTTGTTTTATATTTGTTGCCTTTCAAAGGGGTTAGAAAAAATTTAGATTTGTGTAAACTTAAAGTCACCGAAACAATTTTCTCTAAAGCTGATTTTTCCTTCACAATTGACTATATTTACAAGGATGTGAACTTTTCCTTTTTTTTATGTTGTATTATACAGGTTTTGAATCCATGCAGGCCAGTGATATTTATTGATACTGGTATGTAAAGATGATGTTTCTTCTTTAATCATGTATGCTCATTGTCATTTTAGAATAATTAACGGAAATTTAATTTAATTCCAACTTAGATAAATTGCCCGCTATAGAGGCAAGAGAACAGAAGGCTATAAATAACCCTGTTGAAGCTCACATAATTGTTGAGGTATGTCTCAAGACGATAAATCTACTCTTTTTTTGGACGCAATTTGTTTCATAATTCAAGCCATCTGACTTGCTATAAATTTTTTCCCCCTGTTTGTAATGTAGATAGCTAAGGCACTAATAAAAAATGGAATTGGAGAAGAACATGTTGGCATTATTACTCCCTACAATTCCCAGGCAAACCTCATCCGTCAAGCTACTTGCATGACATCGTTGGAGATTCATACCATTGACAAATACCAGGTCCGTCTTTGGCATATGTTGAGGCCTAGCATGCATTACTCTACTTTTTACAATTAATTCTCCTGTGTAATTCAGGGCAGGTTTGTTTAATATTAACAAACAAAAAGTGATCTTGATTAAGCTACAAGAGGAAGTTTTTGGAAGAACCGTGAGTTAAACATGATGGGTTTAAATAAATGGGCTCTCAATTTAAAATATTCCCAATGACTCCCTCATGTAGCTTAATTAAAATCACTTGTTTTTATTAAGTTTAAACAAAGGGCTCACAATTTAGCATTTTACTTATGTCAGGCGTCACTGAGTTGTTTCTGCCTTTTCTTTTTAAAATATTTTGTTGTAGAAAATGCAAGTGTCATTGATCTGGTTTCTCCTCTTCTCCAGGGTAGAGATAAAGATTGCATAATAGTATCTTTTGTGAGGTCCAGTGAAAATCCATCAAGCTGTACTTCTTTGCTTGGAGACTGGCACAGGATAAATGTGGCTCTCACACGTGGCAAGGTATTTTATGCTTTTTGCTGTAACACCTCACCTACAATTAGATAAAAAAATTGGCTAAAAAGATTTGTGTGGACTTTTAAAAGTTAATCATTTTATCTCCGAAAATTTTTTGTGGTGCATTTTGAACCAATTTCTTAAGATTTTTTTATGGTTGTTTTAGTTTTAAATTTTGTTCAAGTACTTGAATACACTACGCTGGACCGTTTAGACACTGTATGTTGAAAATTGTACATATCCAAAAGAGAGGCACGGACAATGAAATAGTTTGATATACAAGTCTTCTTTGTAAGTTTTAGTGTGGACCTTCACTATATGGAATTTTTTTTTGCCAAATTTTTGATCTGGAAAAAAAAATTCTAATTCTATTATTCAAATATGTTTTTATTTACTTTTCTAAGAGTGCAACTTTGTCGTGCATGCACTAGACTTTATAAACTGTATATTTATTTTATGCATGTGGCTTGTCTTTTGAGATTAAGCTTCTAAATGTGTGCAGAAAAAGCTGATCATGGTGGGTTCTTGTAGAACTCTATCAAAGGTTCCATTACTGAAGCTTCTCATAAAAAAGGTTGAGGAACAATCAGGTATTGTTAGTTTGTCTAAGAAGGATATCTATCAAAAAGGAGAGCTCAAAAGGTGCTCCCAGATGAGATGACCAACAATTCATTGCCCAAAATTATTTAGATTCTTTTTTTGTAAGATTAAGGTTCCTATTGTACAAAGGACTATTTTTCCTTTTGTGATTGACAATGATAACTTCTATCCTACTAGATGGGATCACATAATATAGATAGCACGATGTCATTGTTTTCTGTCAATTTCTTTTTGGGTTGTACTCAAACATCCTTTTGTAATTGATCAATAAATGTAAATACATTCCAATGAAAAGCATTTTTTTCTCCAATCTCATTATCCATCTTTTAATTAGTTAGTTCAGGAAAAATAGGGAAAACATCCTTGGACCTGATTCCAAGTCCATTTTCATCCATATATTCATGCTTATCTACTGCTTACTGCAGATTCTTTTTTGGGATTTATTTTTTCTCTTTTCTTTTTCTTACTTCGGTGTCTATATTATGTTTTCATGGTACATCTGAATTGTTTTGATCAAATTTCAATTGTATAGATTAATCTATACTTTTAAAAGTTATCAAATTGAATTTGATGATTTAAATTTGTAGGTTCTTTCTATTTTTTTTTTTTTTTGGGTAGAAGGCAAATATTTAATAATAACACTAAAGTTTACAATGTCAGAGGTAAATCAGAAATATTAAAAGAAGAAAAGTCAGCGCGAACAAACAAGCCATGTGGGCCACATTTTTTAATAGTAGAATTGTTGAAGTTGTCCAAAAGTTTTGTAATATCTTGATCCATGAGTAGGTGGTGGAAAGAACAAAAGCAAACACTTTGTTATAGAATCTCAAATTTCCAAAGCTTGTACCCTTCCAAAATGATTCTAAGAGAAGTTATTGATCCATAACAGGATATTGCGAACACAGAAGGCCAAGAAGAGATGTTAGTAATAGCATCAGATTTGTTAAGAAGCAATTTAATCCAGCCTTCATTATTGAGAGAAAGATACAGCATAGTAAGTGTTTTTCCTTTTAAAAATATGCTGTTACAAAAATAAGTAATTTTTTCTAGAAAATCTTTTTAATTTTGATCTTTTAACTTTTGAATAAGTAATTTTGTAATAGATATCAAACACGAAATTCAAAGTATCTTTAGATTTTTGTTGTAATACTTATCAAAATTTGTTAGTAATTATCATAATTTCTTTCATCAAATCTAAAATAACATTAATGTATTATAAACATGTAGCATCACTTCATTGAGAAAAAATAAATTGTGTGACAACTATATCTTCAAAATTGAAGTAATTGTACTATATATATAAAAGACTATATAAAGAATCGAAATAATAACATATCATTTATTATCTCCATGCCATTATAATGTGTTAACTTAGCTTTTTTTTTTTGTTTGAATCTCATCATTTTCAACTAAATTAGCAATTTGAAATGAAAAAATATCTTGTAATTAATCGTTATGCTTACACACCATTAACTTTACCAAAAAAAGATAAGAGTTATTTATAATTAATAAGCTAAACAGTATACATAATATTTTAGTGAGTCAAAAATGTATACAACTCCTACATTTTATTTAGAATAAAATTTAAAAGTTAGGGGGTCATGGCCCTTAGTTCCCCTTATCCTCACCACTAGTTCTGTTTCACTTATTTAACAAATATTACAATTTAGTACAAGTTTAACAACATTCTAAAGCAACTTGTACTGTATCTGTAACTAGTAGAAGCAAAGAGAATTCAAATTTCCAAAGGTCGGAAATCATGGCGAATACTTGCATGCCATATTTGAGTGATATCGAAAATGGTACAGCCACACTAATGAACATTCCATTCGTCCAAGGCATGTACTTTTCCTGCTATTCGCCAAGCACTCACTTCTCTCCTTGGTAGCCAATTCTGTGATTTGGGACCAAAAGAAGTTAATTGGTGTATTGAAGCGCTAATTATAATGTTAAAATATTAATCATTATTTTTTTATTGATTATATTTAAACAGCTTAGTAAATCTTACTATCCATCGCGCACACAACCTATAAATTATATGTATGTATGTATGTATGTGCGCGATCCTTTTACTAGGGAAAATGATAATTAAGGATCCCATGATATCATTAATTATGATTAGAGACCCTAAATTATTGAAATCTTAATAATAAATTATGGTGCTTACTAGGAAATTACTATCATATGTTGGAATTATTGTTAATTTCAGTGGGAAAAACTCATTCACATTTGGAAATATGTTATTTTTCAATATAAAATTAAAATTTACTTGTGAAACTTTTGAAAGGCACTTGTGAATCCATTGTGGTCACTTGAAAATTTATCAAAATTACTTGAATATGAAACCAATCACTTGTGAATTTTTATACTTGTCAATATATTGGTAAATTACTTTGAAAATCAAGCAAAGACATTATTGAAATTACTATCTTGGGTTGAGACTATTGTTATTATAAGTTGGAACTATTGTTAATCCCGTTCTTATGTGTGGATCTTGGTTTTTCTAGTTGAAATAATTAACAATAATTCCAAACCATAATACTAATTTTAATACTTGAAGGCAATTTTGTAAACTCATATTTTTAATTTCAAGTAAGGACTATTGTCTATTATTGAGATTTCAATAATTCAAGATTCCTAATTGTAATTAATAGTCATATGAGGTTATTAATTGTCATTTTTCCTTTTCACTATGTAGATATACTCCAACTAATTTGGATGAAGCCGAATTGAGACTTTGTTGGATAGAAACTCTATAATTAAAGATTGGTGAATTTTCAAGACTCAAACTTGAGATATCTACTTAAGATGATACATGTAATAACCCCAAATTAATAATAATAATAGTAGTAATAATAAAAATAAAAATAAAAATCTGGTGGGTATTATTTTGCAATTTTATCAATAACCTGGTTCTTTTCCTATAATTTCCCTGTTATCTTTTTACTTAAATCTTCTTCCTCTCTGCCGGCAAAAAGAGACAGAACAGGGTGACGAGAGACAAAAACAGAGCGAACGAGCGCGAGAGAGAAAGAGAGTTCTTCAAGCTTCCACTGACCTTCACTCTCCATTCTTCTTCGTCCGTCATTCATCTCCGCCGGGCCCTCTGTTCCTTCTGCTCTTCCTTCTTTTTTCTTCTCTTGTTTGCTGGTGTGAGTGAGTGCGGTCAGAAAAAAAAAAAATATACTGCTGCTAAAAGCTTAATGGAACCATGATCTCCTCCTCCTTTCTTTCCGTGCGTGAAGGCGGAGTAGTTGGTTTGCTGTTATTGGAGGTTTGCTTGATGATTTTTTTCTCTTCTTATCTGTGCTGTTGATGTCTTCTTCCATCCCCTGTTCCACCGTGCTAAGTTAGCAAATTAAATTTTTCATTTTCTTCTTTGTCCTGCTGGTGTGTGCTCGAGATTGATATTTCTCTTGCTTTAGATGTCAAATCTTAAACTTTTTTTTTTATCCTTTTTGATTCAGAGCTGTACAATTAAAGGAAGAATTGTTTCTTTAACTAATATTAAATTAAAGACTTGAATTTTGTTGCTGAATAAGAAAATTATGATATGGGTGTGTGTTATAATATTTATGTTAATACTTGATAAAGGATGATTAAGAAATATAATTAGAATTATGTTATAACAAGACAATTAGTTTGGTTGAGAATAAAATGTAGAATTTGGGAGGCATAAAAGAGGATATATGAAAAATTGATTCAATTTGTAGAAAGATTTATTAAAGATTTATTATATTTAATAGGGACCTTAGAAGAAGAAAAGCTTAATTGAAGTTGTGAGAAGAGAATTTTAGGAACTTGGTAGCATACTAGATAAGTAAATAATGTTCCCCAATATATATAGAAGCAATGATCTTTTTTTTACCTTATTTAATTACTTTAATTGTTTTGAATAGATTTTTTTTAAATTGTATTTTATGATTAAGTTCATTTATATGTAACTAGTTTGTTTATTATTCAACTTCAATCATGTAGGCATTTTCATAGTATTTTATTATATATATATATATATATATATCATACATGCATGGATCAGATAAATTATTAGTGAAAAGATCGTTTATATCTTACAAATCAAAGAACAAATTGAACTATAAGGATTTATAGACTCCATGTATGCCAGAAATGTTTTACGGGACTAAATATAAAACGTTGGTTTCTAACAACAGTATCATTAGCCCTTGGCGCGCTATGGCATACCTAGCTAGCAGGGTATATTGGAGGTGTTAGCTTTGTGTGTCGGCCAACAAGCGTGGAACGGAGGGTGTAATTTTGTGGATATAATTCACGCCTGTTATTCATGAGCTTTATGCTTATGCCCATTTTTCATGGCTTCTAGCCACACTGGATGTTACTTATTCTCATGGACTGTGTGTTCACGCCCGTTATTCATTCTGTTTAGGTCCTAATAGAAAAGAAGTTTCCATGTTATATCTTTATCCTTAAGAACTGTGTTTTTATGAATTGTTTTATATATAAAAAAAATTTAAATCTATTCCTTAATTTGTTAATTATGATTTTTTTACTTTATTTTTATTTTTCTCTCTTCTATTTTTGTTACTTAATTATCAAGATAAATTGTGTTGTTATTTTCTAATACCATTAATAATTAGATTAGTCACTTGTTTCTTATTGCATGTGCTTTTGGTTGTCATTTTTATTTATTAATATTATTTGGAGATGTTATTTATTGAAAGAATTTTTGGTATTTAGATAGTAGAAGTGGACTTGCTCTTCATTTGACCTTGTGAGACTCCTTGAGACAAGAAGTATTTTGTTGCTCTATTCAAATTGTGGATTGATGTAAATATTTAAGTATTTTAGTTTTGTTCTAGATTTGCTCCATGAATCATATAGGCAGGATCCTTAATTAAATTATTCTGGGTTTGTATACACACACACACACACACACACAGTATCGGAGTAGAAATTTGAATGTTGCTTGGATATTCTTTTGGCAAGTTGTAGAGATTTCGAGTAGTCCAACTTACAAGGGAGACTTTACTGAAATTTCTACAGCAAGCTTGAATATTTTGTAAATACTAGTACTTGTTTAATACAAATGATGATTATATGATGAGATTGGGTAATTAATATGTCAAATATTATATGGGTTTGGGCTTATAAAATATGAGTTTTCTTATATTCCAGTCGGTCACACTTTAAACATTCAGGGTGTGACAATACAACTCTCTTACTAGTTGAACTAAATGCTTGTTTGTATTTAGATATAGTCTTTATATATCAAGTCAGCAGAGATTTGAGGGTTATACCAAAACAAAAAAAAAAAAAAAACAACTCTTGGAGAAGTCTATTGATAAGTCGGAGCTACCATTAAAAAAAAAAAGGTTGTAATAAACCTATTTTTAATGATCAGCGTGGCAACCAAAAAAAAAAAAAAAGAACAAGAATAAAATATGAGGTTAAAGACTATGAAGCTATACATACTGACCTCGCAACAGGACATGTTTGTGATTGAAGGAGGAACCATCATTGGTGGAGTGTAGTGGTAGAAGCAATCCTTTCCCATTTTTTGGGGTGAGAATTGAAAAAATGGTATGAACAATGATCCTTTTGGTGCTTTCATTTGTTCATTTTCGTCCCATCCATCTCCCACCAACCATATCTGCAAAATATTTCATGTTAAATAATAAGGACGAAAATAGTGAAGTAAACTGAAGTTGAATATTTCTCCAAATTAATGCATTCACCTTGTGCTCATAATGAGTTGAAAGTGCAAAGCTTTCTCTGGGCTTTGCGTTGAGTCCCAAATGAAGCTTCGTTAACTCGTCTTCATATAACGTAGTCAACTGCTGACCAAATTTTGAGATCTTAATAAATCATAACTTACATTTTGCGTCTTCTAAGTTTTTTGTATGGTTTCGATAATATCGAGGTCATCGTTTATTCGTCCATTGTTGAATGAAGTTGAAATTGAAGTAGTTCGCTAATTAAAAAAAAAAAAATTGAAGTAGTTTAAGACATGGAAGAGTATGCGCGTGTTGGTGACCATGGATCTCTAGAAAGTAAGAGAGACGGAAAAAAGTTGTGCACTTCAAGTTATGAGAAACATTTTTTTTTTTTCAAGCTTAATTCGTCCTACTTATATATTTCAACTTTTTGGTATAAATTGTATGTGTCAAATTTCTTTCAAAATACTATAAAGACTCTTGAATATAGTTTACACTCTAAAGATTTATAATGGTTTTTATAGGGTGATAATTTAACTTTATATTTGGTGCACTAAAAACAAATGCAATGAATTTTTTTAATTCTAAAAATTAATGATGGTGATTGGGTATTAATAAATAATAAAGTGATGCCTTGAAGTAATAATGCATCTCAAGCAATATAATTCTTTAATTAATTAAAAAGTCATAACACTACTTTGATAATTGTTATTTAAAATTATTTTTTATGAAGAGTAATATATTTTTAATATGTACAGTTTTCTTGAAATAACACTTCTTTTTTCAAGTAGTAGTTACCATGTATACCTTTTGAGATCTATTTTATAATTTTTCAAAGGTGTCTCTAGGAATTAGAGAAATATAAAACTTTGATGACTTTTAGTTATAACCTTCTATGTAACCATTTATAAAAGTTCTTTAATATATAAATATAAATACACGACTTTTCAAAAAATATATCTCTTTGTTTTAAAAATATTTCAACATGTGTGCGCATGTGTGTTAGCTAATTGCCTGAACATTTGCTTCACACAAAGAGTTGGCTACAGAAAAAGAAAGCTTATCAAAGTTGCCTCGTAGAGGAACTTGATGCGTCCCTTTGGGAAGGCTGTTCACAACTATAGCAGCAGCTAAGCCACTTCCATCTACAATCTTTACCTTCAGTTTTGGAAACTTCTGAATATAAAATTCACCACTTGCATTCAGCTCTTCTTTCTGCATTTACGTACCAATACAACAGGCTTCAATATTTCGATTTTTTCCCAAAAAAAGAAAAAAAAAAAGAAGTGAGGCAAATGATGATGTGAACTTATCAACCCGATTGAAAAGCCCTAGACTAAGCACTTTAACACCAGATGAGTCAGCCTCAAGAATTGCCCCTTCAATTATATTGTTCAGTCTTTTGCTGTGCCTTTTTGAGAGATACTGTATATATAATATAGTAACAAAAGAAGAATAGAATGTCCCAATGATGATATATAACATGTCACATAAGTTACAGTGATTAATTCCTATGTTGAATGAAGGCCAAATTCTTTACCTGTTTTGTAAATCGTGGTACGACCCGTGATTGCAAATTGAGCTTTTCAAAAGTGTTCCCTTCTGATACAAAGGTACGGCCAGACATCCAAGCCATTAGCTTTAAAACGAATGTGAATGGCCACATGGAACGAAGATACCATTTTGATGTTTGAGGGTTGGAGGACAAGGAAGCAAAACCCAAAGGAAGATGATAGATGGAGTCTAACGTTGTTAGGTGAGTCAAGTGAATCACATCAGGAGAGTCATTTGGTCTCTTCAAGGATTCATTATAAGTATCATATGTGGATTCATATACAGTGCCATAAATGTAGTCATAGATTGGCATGAAGAGAGAGTAATTTGTCCTAAATTTGGTGTGATGCAGCGAATGAAACCTGTGGCCATGGTTTATTTATGAGCTTAAAAAATGCCAATTTGCATAAATAAAAACAAAAAAGAATATACACTTGAATGTTTGTTATTCAGTATGAAGTGAAAAAAATTATTAAAAATGGGAAGTGACTGCCTGAAAATTAGGGAAGAGAATAAATGAACGAAAGGTAATAACAAGATATATCAAGATCAAATTTATAATTTTTTTTTCTCCTTAGTATATCTTAATTATTAAGCCTAATTTTATTAGATATGAGACTTACTATACATTGACTCAAGTCTACCCATACTTGAACATCCTAATGTAATTAGAAAAAGCTAATCATATCAAAGAAAAGTTAATGAAGTACAATTAGGTAATTTGCATTTTACTGACCAAAACAAGGAATCAGACCTACGTTGATCAAAGAAAAGAAATGATATCAGATTGTGCAAATAAATCAAAACCTAATAGTGTACAGTTGTGTATTGTCTTAAAGGCAATATTTGTTTACAAGAGTTTGCAAGGATTATTACCATTTCACACAAAATTCAGTTTTTTTTTTGAAGACTTGAAGTTCATCTTTCTTTGGTTCGTGCCCTTGGAATTTGCAACATGATAGACACTTGTAATAGCCCAAAAATTTTAAATAAATAAAAATATATATATATATTATGATAAGAGGAGGTGTTGGTAAAGTGAAAGTATACATATAACCCTTACATTTGGTTTGTTCAAAGCTGATTGAAGTCAGAAAGGAGTGAATTATTTTTTTTTTAACTTTTATACTGTATAATTACGAAACTACCCTTCCTCCACAGATTTTTTTTTCCTTTCTTTTTCTCTCTATCTCTGGCACAATTCAGCATTTGGGGCTCTGTGGAAAATTCCAGATTCTCTCATCTCTCACCTTTTGCCTTCTCTGTCTCCTCCTACTTCCGTCTGCAGCGTCGCTGGCGTGTGAGTGTGCGAGAATTTCATCCGATGCTTCTCTGCTAAGTTCGTGCTCTTTCTTTTTTTTCCTTCTCTATTTCAGATTAGCGAGGTTGTTCTTTTTCCTTTGCCGAGCGATGATCTGAGCATTTAAGTCTCTCTCCCTTCTTGTTCACAGCCTTTGCCGATGTGGGTGTTTCTTATTCGTGTGGTCACCGTTGTTGCTTTGTCTACCATGGCTGTGTGTAGCCTGTAGCCTCCCTCATCTTCCTCTGTCTCTCATCATCGAAGCCTCTTCCTTCTGATCTGTTCTAGTAACTACAAGGGTGAGTCAGAAATCTCCTCCTTTCCTGCAACGCGACATTACCGTTCACTGCCATAGAGAGCTTTGAACCTCCTTTCTCTTCCCTCATTTATTTCATTTTTGGGTGCCGAAGAACAAGGGAGACGTGGCTGTTGTTCTAGGAGTTTGATTCTGAAACTTTCTCCTTCTTTTATGCTGTAAACTTCGTTCCCTTTCTGCTACTGTAAATTGAGGTGAGAAATTTTGATCTTCCTCTTCATGGTTACTCTGTACGTGTGTGGGTGAATGTAGAGATAAAATGGTTGGAAATTTTTCCTTTTACTACCATATTTGTTAAGCTAAAAGGAGAATTTATGAAGTTGAAATTGTACAAAGAACAAGAGAATGTCAGGCTAGGCTTGAGTTTTGTTTATTTGATCTAATTATTAATGTTAGAAAATTTTGGATAATTGATAGAAGGTTAAGAAGTTTCATTGATTGAGCTAGGAATTGATACTAATAAGATAATTGTTAGAAATGTTTGTTAGAGATTGTTACTTGATTGAGTATTTTCCTAAAATCTTATTAAACTCTTGAGAAAAATATAAATGGTTTGGATGCTATTATTTAATGATTTGAGTTGGACATTGTATATAAATTTAAATAAATAAATATATATATATATATATATTTATTTGTAATAGTTATATTATCACATATTAAGCAGTCATGGAAGATAATTATCTCCATAAGGAAAGTGGAGTTAGAGATAGAGATGCTTGAAAAGAGTAATTTTGATTATTAATTCAAGAGTCAATTGATTATCAAAATATTAGTTTTTGAAATATCTATGAATTGTTTGGGGAAAAGGAAATTTAAATTAAAGTTGGGAATTGTTTGTGTTATTTTTCTAAATTGATTTGGGGTTGAAAAAGTATAAAAAAAATAAATCTTTAAAATAAAATAATGATGTTATTATTTGGGCACTAGGATTTAAAGAGCAAACATTGTTGCAAGAAGACCGGTTAAGGGTAGAGAATGTCTTGGGTAAGTGAATAACGTCCCAAATAATTTATTAGCAAAATTTCTTTTCATCAAAGATATTGATTTCAACAATTTACAATTTTATCTATTTATATATGTGTGTATATGTATATATATATTTCATAAGCATTGATTATTTCTGTTGATTGAATAACTCTATTTTCTTAAGTCATGTTATGTGCTTACAACATTGATCAACTTGTTTTTTTTTTACAAGTTTTAGTAATCTTTTATTCGACAAGGACAATCAGGAAAATTTGTGAAAGGGTGGTAAGTATTTACATTGAAAAGAACAGGTATTTACATAATTTATGTTGAGTCTGATATGAAAAAAAGAGAAAATTTTAATTTGATAATGATTATTTTTCTTGCATGTTTGAAAGTTAATTGTTTAAGTGACTTTAGGTAGAACACTGGTTGCTAACGGCAGTTTCGTTAGCCCTTGACGTGCTAGGGTTAATTACTAGCTAGTTAAATTTTGTGAGCTTTGTTCTCACGTCTGTTATTTGTAGGTCTCATACCTGCATCTGTTTTCATAGTTTCGACCACGTCTGGTTAGTTACCCTTATGGACTGTGTGTCCATGTTTGTTTTGTGGCTTCAGCTACGTCTGGTTATTTATCCTTATGGATAGTGTGTCCATATCTGTCTTCGTGGCATAAGCCGCATTTGGTTATTTGTTCTCGTGGACTGTGTGTCTACGTTTGTTAATTGTTCTGATAAGTCCCTATAAATATGAAATTGATTATTTAATGATTTTATATTCCGTTTGTTTTAATTAGCAATATATTTTTAATTACTTGTTTTGTTTATTTGTTTCCTTGAAATTAAGTTATGACAACATTTGATACAATAATTTAATGGTTCAAGATTTCATTTAAAGCTATATAGAATCCTGTTGTTCCATGCTTATTTGAATTTTTATGGAGATCATTGTTTTTTTTAAACTTACATAATTGTTTTTAACTTTTCTTTTATTCATATTTAATTATTTATTATTGGGATGTTATTCACTAGAAAAATTTTTGGTCTCAGATAGTGTAGCTGACATTGAATCATCCGCCAAATATTGAGGAGTCTATTACTGACTAAAGGTGGACGAGTTAAGGATTAAGTATTCTTTTGATGTAATATTTTAAATTATGAATTTTATTTTGTAAGCTTAGTTTAGGTGCTCCACATAATCTATTGCTAGAACCTTTATTTTGTCATATATTTTTGCTTGGTGGTTGGAAGGAGTTGAATTCTTGATTAACATGACATTTGGTGAAAAATATTGAGTTGTAGAGTTTTCGGGAGATCTTGTTTAAAAAGGAGGTTCTGTCAAAATTTTTACAAAAATATTGAAACTTTTATTAATGCAAACAATGTTTACACATGTTCTAATTCAAATTAAAAACATAATTAGGTCTTAGTCATAGAAAGATTAATTGATCCAAGGCTTAAGGGATGTGCAGTGTTCACATTTTGTGTCGGTTACCCTCTATTTTTGAGGCGTGACAATACTGATTAAGTATGTCAAATTGATCATTTCTCATGTTTCCACTATGATTTGTTAATGATGATGCTTGCTAGATTAAAGAAAGGTAAAGAAACTTATGCAATGTTTGGTATACATAAAAGTGTTTTTTAGAAAGGACATGTTGACATTTATCATCCCCCCTTTGTTTTATAGAAAACACTTTTCCATATACCAAATATTACCTCACCCATATTCCTTCGTTTCACTCCCATTTCCCAAGACTTATGCCAACTATCTTCAACCTGTGCAAGGAGTTCCAATTTTTTTCTTTAAAAAATAATAATCATTCACTTCGTTATCATTCCCTTGCTGCCTCATAAATATGAAAACAGAATATTAATCTTTGAAGAATGTATACAACTTGTTTAAATAATCATAGAAGTTGACAAAAGCAATTGAGCCATGCATGCAGGCACCAAAAATAGAGAAAATTATATATAGAATAGAGACTTACGATGGCGTGCAGCAGATATACTTGAGGAAGGATAAAATAGAGAAGAGCTTCTTTGGGAGGAATTCAAAGCTGCAATGACCCAAGTTGTTCATGAAATCGATATAAAATACGTAACCAAATATGGAGGCTGTTCTTGTGAACAATGTTGCAGATTTTGGTATTGTGAATAGAACGACATATGCTAATACTTCAGCAAATGGATGAGTGACAGCTGTCCCAAAAAAAAAAAATAAAAGCAATGAAAATATGTAATTCGTTAAATAAAAAACAGAGTATTAAACTTAACATTCGTATTTGCACAAACAAATTTTAATTTTGGGAATCCTTTTAATTTTGCAATTCACCCTTTTATTGATCAACAAACTGATCATAATTAATTACTCTCCGGCCTTCATTAGAGTTTTCGACAATTTCACGTGTTTTAAGAAAATGTTACATAATTAAATTTGTCAAAAAAAAAATCCCAAAATTCCAATTCTACCGTTATTAATGAAAAGAACGTAAAACCTATACTCACAATTGACGAAATCATGCAGTAAAACTCTGATGGGAAAAAATAGAAAAACATTAGATACTTTTAATTTTTGGGAAAATAGAAAAACAGAGAAAGTCTTCTAGAAAACAACTTAATATTAGGACCAGAAAGAGTGTTTATAAGTCACCTATCATGTACCATTACACGGATCTTGTTGAGTAATTGTGATAGAGAAAGAGAATGACATAGATGAGTAAGACTAGGTTAGAATTTGTAACATTTAATAGAAAGTAGTATTTTTGTAAAAGATGGAGTAATTAATTTTAAGAATATCACTTTTAACTTTAATTAATTTTCATTGATTGACAAACTAACACATAAAATAATAACCCAAACCATATTATTTAATAAAAGGAAAGAAAGTGTGAAGAAAATATCATACAAGTTATAGGTTGAGTGACTATAGAAGAATGATGGCAAGAATGGTAGCAAGAATAGAGGAAGTGATGGTGAAGAGCTCTGTGAAACCAGTAATAAAGAAACTCCACTGGACCAGCATGCATGAGAGCTGTGAGAATCACACCCATCTGTTCTCCATAAGGGTAGATGATGCCAAAACTCAGGAAATATCATGTATGATAAGTAGATTTGGAGTCCGTTAAGCAAAATTTGGTCATCCCTGTGAGAATAATAATGTCTGTTATAACACTCATACCTGCACCAAGACTCTGATTTATTCCCCCCAATCCCTGTTATAGGGCACATACTATAAGCATTTTTCGGTCCTGAATTAATATAATGAAAATTTTTTTCAATGTTACTCATGTTTAAACTCATTAACTATGAGAGAGTTTGCAATGCAAATTTGAAAAATATAGTTTTCATTTAAGTAGGGGTAAACAAATTAAAGTTAATAACTTAATTATCTCTCATTAGTTTTGATGAGATAGTTAGAGGTGCCTTATAATAAGAATAGGAGGGAGTAGATTTTAAAATTTGATTTCAATCTTGCTGGTTTTAAGAGATGGTCGTGCATATTATTGGTTTAGAAGAGAAGGAGGATTATGGATAGGAATGTAATGCTCCCTCCTATCCTTATTATAAAATATCTAATTATTATAAGTCACTTGATGAGGTGCTCTCCCCATTTTCAAATATAAAAAAAATTACCCTATATTTCATTTTTTTTATAAGCAAAACTACAAATTTTAGGAAACATTAATTACATTTTCCCCAAATTGTCCCTCATAAATGGAAAAAAGTATCATTAAATTAGAGAAAAGTAAACATTAATTAATTACAAGGGTATTTTGGCCCAAACATTTTAATTTTAGAGATGATTATTAGGAATAGCTAACTTTTTTAAACTATGTGATTTAGTTGAAATTCTCTTATATTTGAAAAAGGAGGAAGTACTAATTAAGTTTTTTTTCAATGTTAATCATATTTAAAGTTATCAACTATCAATGCAAATATGAAAAAAAAAATCATTTAAATTAATACGGGTAAAATGGAAAGGTTATTCTATTTTCAAATAAAATTAATTACTCAATCACCTTTCTTTAGTTCCGGTGGTTAGAGATATCTTATAATAGAGATAAGAGTGATATATAAATAATTATGTGAGAGAGAGAGAGAGAGAGAGAGAGAGAGAGAGAGAGAGAGATCCATATTTGATCGAACTAAAATCTCGCCAACATAAATGGAAGTATCACATAGTATGCCGGGGCTCCTTCATCAACATTGGAGTGCGTGACTGAATAGATGTTGTAAGCAATCCATGGTGCAATTATCAAGTACAGAACATATGTTCATCGCCATGCAAACAGAAGAAAGAGTCAGATTGATGAATCTACTTTAATGAAATAACAATCCATGTTTAAAGCATAACCACTTGGAGATCAAAAGTTTCTTCCAAAAACCAATTTACTTGTTAATTGATTGCTCTCGCAAGTGTACGAGATCACAGTAATAAATTACCCGGAGTATTCTAGGTGTCAAACCCACAGGGAAGTTACACTTTTATTAATTTAAATAATTAATAGTTCGAGAAAAATAGATAAAATGGATAATTTTGATAAAAATATAAGGAATAAAAATAAATTAAGAAAATAATGATGACAAAAACACAATCACTTGAAGCGTTGGGATTTAGGATTTACCCTATAGGTTGCTAGTTTCTACCCTTTGAGTTGATTCGAATCAATTATAGTGACAACTATTCCTAAAGTGTCCTAATATTCTCTTGAATTATTAGTGCCTTTTTAATTAGTGTTGAATTCGTTCTCACGATACCCAAGCAACTAATTAAACCGTGAAGCTATAATTTAAGTCACCATAAATTTTTAGAACTATCCCTAACTTAGTTATTTATGTTTATTTCTCTAAATCTAGGTTCTCTCTTCACCTCCCAGTCCATGAAGATTACCCATAGACTTGATTAAATGGTAGCCAGTCATTAAATTAATATGAAGAACAAGAGAAATAAATATAATTGAAAAAAATAAAAAATATTCATAAATATAAATGCAAGGAGTCAAAACAAAAGAAATAGAAAATTAGCTCCCCAATTGGGCTACATCCTTATCCCAACTGGGTAATTTAGAAACACATAATAAAATTAAATAAAACCGTTCTAAAATCCCCAATCATGAAAAATGATCACAGAGAAAATTAAGGAGTAGAAAAGAAATAATTATAATTTGTAAAACCCCTCAATGATCTTGCTTTCAGCTTTCAAAATACTTTTACGAGCTCCAAATATCTCAGAGAGAATTCTTGAGGTACTTGTATAAGTGATTGGATGCCTTCCCTCTTGATAGAGGGAGTATTTATAGTTAAAGTGGAGGCTTCTTCTTTTGTTCCTTGTCAATGTGGGACTTTGATATATATATATATATATATGTATGTATGTATGTATTTCTCTTTTTCTTCTTTCCTTCTATTTGGTTTATTCTTTTTCTCTGTAAAATATAAAGATAAAAAGATATAGATAAAAAGATATGAGTGAATTTTGTATTAAAATTTCTTTTTATCTTATAATTAAGTGATGAGGGAAAAATATATAAATATCAATTAAATAAATATAAAATCTTAATAAATATAATCAAATTCAAACTAAAATCTATACCCATTTAATTATAAAATATGCACTTATCATTAATTTTCAAAGGAAATTACATCAACATATAACCTGTCACCAAATAATTTTAGTATAAATATAGTTTTATATAATATTAGATAGATCTAGTAATATGGGTTGGGCCCATTGACCTAACCCACCAACATGTTAAAAAGTGGAGGGGCAGGTTTAAAATATGGGCTTCAATTGTTGTTAGGTTGTTTTAACTGAGTTCGTTTCAAGCTAGCTTGCACAATCCTTGAGCTAGCCTGCTTTTGTTTTTCTTTAAAAAAAAATCAGTTCAAAGAAAGAAATACACTCGTTAAACATAATCTATCAATTAGTAATTTTGATATAAATATCAAATATAGTTCTACAGATTTTGCTAGGCAAGTAGCGGAAAATAAGTGTCATCATGCATGAAGTAAGTTAGAGGGCACACACAACCCCCCCTCTCTCTATATATATGTATGTAAATGACCTAAACTTGACTCAGATTTTGCATTTAATAATAGTATGAGACTACTGGAAGAATTCAGATGATATATTACGGGACTTAAAAAACACACACACAGAAATTAGAAAAAGAAGAAATAATCAAGCTTGACTATGTAAAAAATGATAACGAAGGCGTTGGAAGAAAATAGACCTTGAAGTTTGCAAGAGGCTTCCAAGGCCACTCTGTGAGAATGCCTGGTTTAGAAGCCATTTCGCGACTTAGAGCTA